TGCTCAGTGCTTGCCATAGGACAAAGAATCCTTGAGAAGTAGAAGCTTCTTCTGGCCATAGTTCCTATGTTGGGTGTAGATGCTGTACAAATCTTATTACTGGTTTAGGAAAGGAGTTAATTTCTCCTGGTATCAGCCAGGAAAGCTTCTAGGGGACCTAACTTCCCAGAAAATACAATGAGATAATGACAATTTGAGTTAATATTCCTTAGGAGGAGACAGTGGGTCCCTGGCCGGGGGCTCTTGAAATTATAGATCACATCTGATCTGAAGCAATCTACCACAGGACGGAAGAGAAGAGATAGGGGCAGTATATCAGCCATCTGAGCCACCAAGAGAGTTATGAATTTGGGCCATAGTTAACCTAGAAGGGGCAAGGAACCACTCACAAACAGACAAGCTATGTGCTGTCCTTACCGCCACGTGGCTAAAAGGTATTACTGTGCTTGTGTGACAAAAAGAAATGGATGCAATGCATAAAAGCCTTACCATGAGATCAGCAAAGCCCTGTGCTCAGGAATTTGTACTTAGCATGGTCCCCCAGCAGCACTGCTGTGCAAGATGGATCTGAAGGTATCACCGGGAGTAGATCCAACTGTGGCCTTCAATGGTGTGCAAACTGAACTGGAACCCATGTTCAGCACCTGGTTGGAGCTCCTGCTTGTGAGAATACTCTTTTCTTCATGGTGACTCTCAGGTGAGGAAGGATGTGCAGCCCACATCCCTGTTTCCCCTTGCCCTTGAAGCCTCAGTGATTATGAGCTCAGAGGGATATTCTAACACCTCATCTCTCACCTCTTTGCCCAGAAACCAGTCACCTCATTTGCCCTGAGGCCAAGACAGACACAAGTTGTTGACCACTTCTGGGAAATGCTCAAGAACTGTCAGTGGCTCTGCTATGGATAAAAAGAGAGAGAAGGGGCTAGGAGCAGAAATAACAGTCATGTCAGGAGTTAGGCATTTAAAGTCACAGGAATCTCTGAGCATAAAGAAATCCAGACATGATCTCAAGTCAGTCTGAGGGTGTTATAAAGTCATCTAACTTGGAAGAAGAGATAAGGTGTGTGGGTAAGGCTCAAATGCAGTCAGAAGTCATTACTTTACCAACTATGGACTTTTGAGATTACACAAAGTACCCAAAGCAATCTATCATGAAGAGGAAAAGTCAAGTGCACTAACTACATCAGCCATTGGGACATCAAGGTAGTCAGGAAATGGGGACAGAGGCGGCCCCTGCATGTCTAAGGTATCTAACAACACAGGCTACTCTCTTACTTAGACATTTTCTTTTTTTTTTGGTTATTTCTGACTTATGTTTTTCTTTCTTGCTTTTCTTTTTTGTGACTCTTAAAAAAATAAAACTTGGAACCAAAAACAAAATTCTTAATCAAAGTTTAACCTGTCTTTACCATACTAAAATAGCATTCTAATAAGAATTTTAGAATTTAATCATTAGTGGGCACAGTTTTAGAAGATCATACATGACAGTAAACTAAAAATTACTGACTTTTCTAGTTGATTTGTCTGAAAGTCATATACCTATGCTTGGGAGCAAATGAGTCAGATGAAAAACTGGAAATAAAGGAAAGGGTTGTATCTCAGTGAAAGATCATGTGCCCATGCTGTCTAAGGTCCCGGGTCCAATTCTCAATATTAAGAAGAAAAAGTAGAAGTAAGGTAGCAGAATATGGACAAAGAGGAAGAAACTAAATTACAGAATTAATAAATTTTAAAGAAATAGGTTACTATAATATAAGAAGTAAGTAAGGTCTGAGATTGGAATAAAATTCAGATCATGTGTTTGACTAAGGACCTATCCTCTGGGTGTGGTGACAAGTGTCTAATATATAATGCTAGCAAGAGCTGTGAGGGAACTGAGGCAAGAGGATCACGGGTTCTGGGCCAGCCTATCATATGGCGACTTGTGATCCTGTCACAAAACAGAAGAAAGTGTCCAAAGTCAAACAGCAAACATATGTTGTTCTTATATTCTGACCCCATCAGCGGCTATCACGATGATGAACCTTGGGGTGATCTTCTATACAGAAAAATTATTCAAAAGTTCATTATTCGTGGACTCATGAATATTTCAGACCAAGGAGCTTTAATGTCACCAAATAAAAAAGTATATCCCTGTCTAGAATATCATATAAACATTATCATCTGAGTAGCAAAGTTTTTAGATTTTAGTCTTAACAACCCCCAATTTCTGAGACACATATGGTCATTTTACAAACTCTTCTTATCATTCACATTATTGCTTACATCCTGTGAAAACAATAACTAATTTTAACAAACTTGGCAATATCTCAAACCATTTTCTAATAAGGGCAATGTATTGTTGCTGTATGTGATCTTGTAAACAATCTTAATTGGGTTAAGACTGTAGCCTCAAACAGATTTTTCCCTTTTTTTTCGATTTTATTGAGTTATACATTTTCTCCACTCCCCTCCCTTTTTTCTCCTCACCTCCAATCCTCTTCCATGGTACTCATGCTCACAATTTACTCAGGAAATCTTGTCTTTTACTGCTACCCATGCAGATTAGATCTATGTATGTCCCTCTTAGGATCCTCCTTGTTGTCTAGATTCTCTGGGATTGTGATTTGTAGGCTGGTTTTCTTTGTTTTATGTTAAAAACTACTTACGAGTGAGTACATATAATAATTGACTTTCTAGGTCTGGGTTACCTCCCTCAAAATGATGTTTCTAGATCTATCCATATGCCCGCAAATTTCAAGATGTCATTATTTGATGGAGGAGGGTTATCTGTCTATGTATTACTTTCATTGGTTAATAAAGAAACTGCTTGGCTTGATAGGTCAGAACATAGGTGAGTGGAGTAGACAGAACAGAATGCTGAGAAGAAGGCAATGAGGCAGTCACCATGCTTCTCCTGCCCAAGATAGACGTGAGTTAGAATCCTCCCGGTAAGCCACCACCTCGTGGCGCTACACAGATTATTAGGAATGGGTTAATCAAGATGTGAGAGTTAGCCAATAAAAGGCTACAGATAATGGGCCAAGCAATGTTTTAAAAAATACAATTTGTATGTTGTTATTTTGGATATAAAGCTAGCCGTGCACGAGGTGGGCGGGAAGGCAGCCTGCTGCTCCTATTACTACAATTATTTTTCTTTGCTGTGTAGTATTCCATTGTGCAAATGTACCACATTTTCCTTATCCATTCTTCAGTCAAGGGGCATTTAGGTTGTTCCCAGATTCTGGTCATGACAAAAAATACTGCTATGAACATATTTGAGCACATGTTCTTGTGGCACGATTGAGCATCCTTTGAATATATACCCAAAAGTGGTATTGCTGGGTCTTGAGGAAGGTTGTTTCCTAATTTTCTGAGAAATTTCCATATTGATATTCAAAGGGGATGTACCAGCTTGCACTTCCACCAGCAATGCAGGAGTGTTCCCTTTACCCCACAATAACTACAGCATAAGTTGTCGTCAAAGGTGATGTGGGATTTCCCCTCTGTATGCTGTATGCTGTGAATACCATTGGTTAATAAAGAAACCATTTTGGGCCTGTGATAGGGTAGAGCAGAGCTAGGCAGGGAAAACTAAACTGAATGCTGGGGGAAAGGAGGCTGAGTAAAAAAGAAGTCATAGAGTCACTGCCAGGGACAGACTACCTAGACTATATCTGTCCCGTAAATTGATTCAATAAATTCTTGAATGGATTAAATAATAAATGGGTGGTCAGAGGAATGAATGAACCATTTACAGTATGAGCTTTACAGTCAAATAAACCTAGCCTCTAATCTCAGCTTTGCCACTTACCAACAGTGTGACCTTGAGAAAGCTCCCCTGAGCCTGAATTTGTTGTGTGACTCACAGGACTGATGTAAGAATTTTAATGAGATAATCTGTGTAAAGTGTTTGCCACAGTTCTTGATGTATAGGAAGATAAGTGACATGTAAAATAATAATTACAAAACTCTTTGGAAAAGTGCATACTTGAAAATATAAAAGATGGGTTCCTCAGCTATATCCTGACTGGGGTGACTGAACATGTCCTGCAAATTATATACTTACTTTACAACTGAATAAAACATCTTTAAAATCTCTCTCTCTCGTTCTCCCGCCACCATATATATATATATATAAACATACATACATACATATCCCAGTTTCATTATTCATCTAACTATTGATGAACATCTAATCTAGTCTGATTCCATTTAACTTTTGTGACTATAGCCACACATGGAAGTGCAAGTTCAGTGGAAAGCCCCAAAAATGAATGGGTCAGCCTGGGTACCCAACCAGCATAAGCAAAAAGGAGAACTCAGCGAGAGGAAGTCAATCCAGTTTGGCAGAGAGGGTGCACAGTTAGGGTGTTTTCCAACATGTAACCCTGGGTCCTGTGCCCGTAGGAAAAACAGACCCTTTTGGTAGGAAAACTCCATCTGTTAGGAAAAATCTTAAGACTACCCTCTCCACCCATGCAAAATAACTCCAATTAGACCAGAGTACACCAAATCAAAGATGCCCACGTTCAATGAACGCAATGCTACTGGGTTATTGGGAACATGGCAGGAGAGGGGGAAAGGGGATGTGGAGACAGAGCGAGATCATTCAAACCCTGTGACCATCTGTTAACTAGCCTGTGAGAGTGGTCCTGACCCTTCCTGGAGAGGGTCAGCACTTGGCAGGCTTCCCGGAGGTGGAGTCTGAACCAAGGCAACTCCCAGGAGGAAGGAGCTTAGGCTGGATGCCAGGGACTCGGGTGATGCTTCCAATCATCCCAGACTCCTTGGATATAGGGGTGTTAGAGGACTGGGGTCTCACTTTTGACAAAACATCCCACAACAGCCATCTGTAATTTGTTCATGAATGAGGAAGTTTCAAAACAAAGGGAAGGCCTGTTCCTGATTACTGCTTAACTGGGTACTGATTAACACTTAACTATCAGGTATAGGCAAGAAGCCATCAGCAATTGTCATGTATCTCTAGAAAACAACAACAAAAAACCCTGAAACCAAGATTGCTTGGCAATGTTGACATTTATTCTTCAAATGTGACCTTCAGTTTGTGGTCTTCTTATCACACTTCTTCTCTTGTTGGATGGCTAGGGAAAGAAAATAGAAAAAAAAACATTAAAAGGGATTTTCCTCTTTCTTTTTTTCTTTCTTTCTTTTTTGGTTTTCTTAAAATTAAGTTAAGTTTCTTCTACAAGTTAGCTTTACAAAGTCACTGAAGGCTGATAAACATGCCTTAGAATGCAAAAGCCCTATCCACTTATCCTCATACTGGAGGTGTGTATGTGTTAGAGCACCTGAAGAATAATCTATATATTCTCTCTATATAAAGTTTATATTTAAGTAATAGATTTAAAATATTGTTATTGTCCACAGAGTGTTGTAGGAATGAGGAGTAAGTAAGAATTTCCTTCGGTTTTATCCTTATACAACTAGGAAGTTGTATAACTTTCATCTTTTCAGATGATTTTCTGAATTCTTAAGTTCGCAATTAAAGCTGACAACACAAAAATGCCACTCAGCTTTTAAAAGTTCACTTTGAGTTTCTCGAGGTGGCTGTTGTTCTGAAGAGCAATCTTATCCTTTGAATCCGGGAAGCTGGAACACACACACAAACTCTAAACATAGTCTTCCACCTTATTTTATAGCTATCTCTAGAAGACCTAAACTACAGGTTGCATAGTTTTTATGTGTGAAAGCATAGAGTCAAACTGTTGCATCCTGAAAAATGTCTAATATTTACATTAAAATAAAAACTGGGCAAAATCGAGATTTACATAATGCCACATTCAGTATTTCAAATTTAGCTTTAATATAATTTTAGTAATTTTGTAAGAAGAAATGAATCTATGATACCATTATTATTGTAACCTAGCATGCAAACCATGTACATTATCTAAATAAAAAGACAGTTACTTGATATTTTAATTGCTGCACTAATTATAATAATTCTCTTACTACTACTTAGGTTTTTGCAATTTTAATACAGCATAGGTTTGTTAAGTGACTATGCCAACTTTCACTACTGTTCCTCTCAACAAGAAACCTCCATGACTTACTTTCCTTCGATGGAAGCGTATTTTTTTCTGTGGTAATAATTTTATTCAGTTTTGATCTGTCAAATTTTTCAATTTCTGTCATGTCAAGTTTGTCGTCCATATTGACTGAAAGAACAACAACAAGACGTTACCCACTAGAACT